CTTCATCTGTCTTTTACACTAAATTACCACCACACTGTAATTTTATTTACATCTTTCATCATCCACCCAAGAACTGTCTATGTGACATATTTTTAATAGGGAATTAAATTCTTCCTTCTCAAATAAAATCTGACATCTTGTTTTGACAAGCTTTTGGACAAACTCTGGATGTATAAATATGAACACAGACTTCCAAACCAATCGATGCTGATTAGTTTGTCCGAGAAAAGTGCACATTTTAAACAATGTTATTTCCAATATGGCAACTCAAATTGTACATTTTTGTTCTATTGCGTCCACATATAGAGGCGCTATTTCTAAGGACAACGCAACTTTGGTGGGGGCGACTTTAATCCTATAATTACTTAGACTCAAGAATAATGCGGGGTTTTATAGGTTGATTTTCTCAGAGTTCAATGTTCTAAGCAGTAGTCAACACGTGAATAATTTTGATTGAAATTAGTTTAATCCTTGCTTGTTTTCCCATGTTTTACTGTGAAATATTGCAAGACTATTCATGCATGTTGTTCATGCATGACATTTTTTACTGACATTGAGGTATTGATAAATGAGCAGAATAGACTTTAATGTCGTTTGTTGTTCACACTGATAAACAACGAACACGCTGCAGTTTAGCATTAATAAAGATATTACAATTAACTCATTCATATTAATGACCAGATTAACCCCCTCTTCATGCATAGACCCGTAGTATACTGTGCTTCTGCTGTTCACAATTACTGTTTGCCTGTCTGGCTACGAATTTGTCCCTATTTAGCTAATATATAATTGGAGCATACCTCCTGGAGATGGTTCTGTAAGCTCTATTCTTCAAGCCTGGTCTGAGTCCTAGCTAGTTTTGTGACAACTTTGTCCAAAAGGTTGTTTCCTCGAATAATCCTCTGGCCAGGATATCTACTACAGCCTGGTTGGCCCAGAATTTCCTGCATGAATTTATTCATATTTTTCTTAAGAACGTCCACTTTCGATCAGGCAATACTTATAATGTCTGGTTGGTAGACACTGAATAGTTATGGACTTCTAATCGTCATGCAGTGTTCTCTGTGACTATGACACCTCTGCTCTTCACAGAATCTATTTTACGATTCTTGCCATATCGTTCGCTTCAGTATGCTGTTTTGTTTTAGTGCAGATCACGGACTTGGAGTTGAGATAAAACAAAACAGCATACTGATGAGACCGATATGGCAAGAAACGCATTTGAATAGAAATGATTTGAATAGAAGCGACATTGTGATAGAATCCCCGGATTTGAAGGCTCTCATAATCTTCTCAATAATTGGTCTGGCCAATGCCTTATTTGCTTCTTTAAGGCCACTGAACGTTGTGTTGCATGGCATCATTGTTTCCAGATCCATTACATGTTGTTTTCTTTCTATGAGGTGGTGTGACTGCATCTTGTACCCTGTATTTCGTATAAGTTTTTTCATTTTTTACGGGACCTAAGTATTTAAAATGTATCAGTGTTTAACATAATGTAATTTCTGTTGCCCAATCGACGACTTTACGGATATTTGCTTGTAGTAGATTTCAAAGTCTTAAACAGAAGAAATATTCATGCTGATTTTTGTATCGTCTGCATGGGATGGCACGAAGCAGTGACTTATGTCTTTGTCTGTATCCGATATGACCAGAAGAAGGGTTAGCTCTTCTATATGTTGGTTGAGCAAAATTATGTCAATTAATCTAAGGAGATCCCTGACCTGTTTATTTCCAGGTTGATTCCCTGTAACATTGGTATTATTTGTTGTTCTTCATCTTAAACTGGGTAGATTAAAGTCTCCAAGGAAGATATCATTTGACACAGGGTTTTCTAAGTTATCGAAGCAATTATCTTTTTTATTTATCTGTTATGCGAATTGCTGAACCATTGCATCTGACAGTTTGCATTTTAGCATACTAAAGATGTTCATGTTTTTTACCCTGATTACAAATACCTTTACCACCTCATTTGTAGAGTTTAGGAGTTCTGTGCATAATAGTTCCTATTTAATATAAAAACAACTCCTCTATATGATCAATTAAGTCTATCACATCAATATAAATTACATGTAAAAATCCAGATTTCATTGTTTATTTAATTAATCTCTTGTATATGTTTCTGCTAAATTTTCAAATATTCATTTGCCTCCGTAAGGATACCCTTTATTAAAACTGTACTGTGTTTCTCGCCATTACATTTTAGGCCCATGTATGGCAAACATATATGAGGCAACTCTGAATTATTTTGGTTAGAAAGCTCTTCAAGGAAGTCGATTACATTTACACTTTGGCCCAAGATGCGTGTGCATTGTGAACTTGCTGTGACATTGTGCATTGTTATACAATGTTATATTTGTGTTGATAGACATTGTGCATTGTTATATAATGTTATATTTATGTTGTTAAACAATGTTATATTTGTGTTGCTATACAATGTTACATATGTTTTAGTCTCATTTGTCCAATCAAGTCTTATATAGAACACAGTGTCATACCATGTCATTCCTGGAGCATTGATCATGAGCGTCTCTGTAGTATGAGTTGGGTCGTTCTTGACTCAATCGGGAATACCTGGTTCGAATTTCGGATGGGATAGAAATTGTTAAAGTTCGTTTCCTCTCAGTTAATGCTACTGTTCATCGAGCAGCAAATAAGTACCCGAAAATAAGTCAACTGTTGTGGAGTTGCTTCCTCAGAAGGGTTATTTGTTTGACCTTGGGAGGAACCTCCAAACTCGCCTAATATATATACATACACAGGCTGCCAGTCCCTAACAAAATTAATTATTTTTATTATTATTTCCAATTCTTCAAGAATAGTCAATTTAATTATATTTGAATATGCTCTTACTTATTGTTTATCTTCTGGTCAAAGGTTATCACATGAATACCTTTATGCTTGATGAGACCCATTCTATATGAATACGTTGCACTTGTCAATGTCACTTAACAAACGATTCGAGGAACTTTCAAATTGATTTTATAACAGCTATTCACGACGCTGGTGTATCTCCCTCACAGGGCAGACGGAGTACGCCCAGGCAGCGATCAAGTGGGCCACCGACTACTTCCTCAAGTGTCACACCGCCAAGGACGAGTTCTGGGGCCAGGTATGGCTGCATTGTTTAGTCAGTACTAGCAACTGAGTCATATCCTTCCTTTTGCGACAACACGGATAAATAATTTGATGCTAATTTATGTAAAGGCCCAGATATGTAAAGTATAATTTAGAAGAATCATCCCTTCTACCCTTCTCTCTCTCTCTCCTCAATTCTCCTTATGACCTCTCTCTTCTCCTGTCCTGATTTAAGACTTAAAAAATTTCAGGGGTCACAAAATATGCCGATATTTCTTAAAAGATAGTAATGGGGACTATCTTAACTGGCCTATAACACTCATACATCCCCCAATGTGTTCCTTAGGAAAGTTGGGTGAGACAAGCCTCAAGCATCTGTCCTACGTAAGAAAAGCAGACATTTTACTTTGCAGATAGACACACAAGTTTGTGTGATCACACTATTAACTGGATGGTGCGAAAAGCATTACCAATTAAAGTGGTTTTGTGGAACGGAATTTGATTGAGTCTGCACTAATCACTGTCCAAATCGTCTTAATGTTAGTACTGGTATGTACAAAGTTGACCCATTTTCAAGTTACAAAATTGCACAACAGTTTAAGAAAAAACTTTGAGAGGGAGGGTTACAATGTCTCATTACAATAATATATTATATGTGTGTGTGTTTCATGAGGTTTCTTCTTTAATCTTTCATTCGTATTCTCTGGCCGATTAATCCTTCTGACTATTCTCAGCTAATCTATACCTGTTTCTGGGTAATTCATACCCTGGGGATGGGTGGTCAGGTTCCAGTTGCCTCCACCCTCCCTTTGTTTCTCATAGTCTGATGTTGACAACGGCTTTGATCGGCCGAAACGTAGTAGTCCCGTAGTCTCTCTTCGTAGCTCATACCTCTCAGCTCGGGTACTAGTCTGGTGGCAAACCAGTGTGTGTGTGTGTGTGTGTGTACTCACCTAATTGTACTCACCTAATTGTGCTTGCGGGGGTTGAGCTCTGGCTCTTTGGTCCCGCCTCTCAACCGTCAATCAACTGGTGTACAGATTCCTGAGCCTATTGGGCTCTATCATATCTACATTTGAAACTGTGAATGGAGTCAGCCTCCACCACATCACTTCCTAATGCATTCCATTTGCTAACTACTCTGACACTGAAAAAGTTCTTTCTAACGTCTCTGTGGCTCATTTGGGTACTCAGCTTCCACCTGTGTCCCCTTGTTCGCGTCCCACCAGTGTTGAAAAGTTCGTCCTTGTTTACCCGGTCGATTCCCCTGAGGATTTTGTAGGTTGTGATCATGTCCCCCCTTACTCTTCTGTCTTCCAGTGTCGTGAGGTGCATTTCCCGCAGCCTTTCCTCATAACTCATGCCTCTTAGTTCTGGGACTAGTCTAGTAGCATACCTTTGGACTTTTTCCAGCTTCGTCTTGAGGCTTCTTCGGCTTCTTCGTCTTGTGTGTGTGTGTGTGTGTGTGTGTGTGTGTGTGTGTGTGTGTGTGTGTGTGTGTGTGTGTGTGTGTGTGTGTGTGTGTGTGTGTGTGTGTGTGTGTGTGTGTGGAATATATATATATATATATATTCCCATCACTGAAATATAAGGAAAACATTTAAAAATGAAATGAAAATATGAAAAAATATAAATATAAACAATACTCACAAAATGAATGGTATGGTAAACAACACAGCTCAATTCTAATGCAATTCACTCAAAATAATAAATAAAAATAAAAATAAATAAAAATCTATGAAAATTCAATTTATCAATGCAATCAGAAACATTGAAATGGAATTGTAACATATTTAGTATAGAATGTGTGTGTTGCTCTTACATGCAACAGATGTCCCTGTTTTTCAAGAAAAACATAGTTTTACCTGTCACAGGTGTGGTACCTATACTTATACTTACGAAATGAACCGTATGGTAAACAACACAGCTCAATTCCAACACAAAGTCACACAAAATAATTCAATAAAAATAAAATAAATTGAAATCTATGAAAAACAATTTATCAATGCAATCGGAAAAATTGAAATGGAATTCGTGACATATTTAGTATAGCGTGCATGTTGCTATTATGTGCAATAGATGACGCTGTTTTTCAAAAACGCATGTTTTTACCTGTCACAGGGGTGGCATCTATATAGTAGGTATATAAAAAGACGTGCCTATTCGAATGCAAAGTTGTGTCAAAATTTCAAAGCAATCGGCGAAGAACTTTCGGAGATTACAGCATGTGTTGCTCTTACGTCCATCAGATGGCGCTGTTTTTTAAAAAAAAATCATGTTTTTTCCCTGTCACAGGTGAGTTATGTATATAGTAGGATATATAAAATATATATAAATAGGAAATATAACTTTCGGAGGATATATAAAAAGACGCGCCAATTCGAATGCAACGATGTGTCAATATTTCAAAAGCAATCAGTGAAGAGGTTTTGAAGATTACCCTCACATGAAAAACACAGTTTTTCACAAAAAGCATGTTTTGTTTTACCGTCACAGACATGACATCTATATAGTCTGTATATAAAAACCTGCTCAGATGCGAATGGAACGTTGTGTGAAAATTTCAAAGCAATTGGTGAAGAACTTTCGGAGATTTGCAGTTAAGCACAAATAAACATTTCCATTATATATATATATATATATATATATATATATATATATATATATATATATATATATATATATATATATATATATATATATATATATATATATATATATATATATATATATATATATATATATATATATATATATATATATATATATATATATAACAGCCCGCTGCCCGGCACAAAGAGAACCACACTTATCCAGACCTAACGACCCTCAGAAGCGCCCTGATGGGGTCACCTTGCTACCTTGGAAGGATGGTAAGCAAGTGGTATGGGACTACACGTGCGCTGCCACACTGGCCAGTACCTACCTCCACTACAGCACACGTGAAAGCGGTGGTGCTGCTTCTTTCAGGGAATCGCAGAAAATTATTAAATACAGAGGTCTAGCACACTGCTACAGCTTTGTTCCGATCGGCTCGGAGACCCTCGGTTCGTGGGGAAAATGTGCATTGAAGTTCCTGAAGGAATTGGGGGACAAATTGATCAGCGCTACAAAAGACCAGAGAGCAAAAAGTTTCTTGTTCCAGCGCCTCAGTGTTGCGATTCAGAGGGGAAATGCCTGTTGCGTCTTGGGCACTAGTCCAACTTCAGAGGAATTCGAAGAAGTGTTTGACTTGCAACAATGATCGAACCCGTCTGTGACATTCATCAATGTTTCCCATTGTTGTGTTCTTCAAGAGATCCATAATCTTTAAGCACCTTTTTGCATTATTATTTTTGTATCAACCCATGTATATCTTGTAACCATCAAATGCATAATAAAGCACAAAAAATATTCAAGGAAGGGAGTGGTAGGAGAAAAGCACACAGAAACTGTATTGGAGGGGATCTAAACATTCCCTCTAATGCGTTATGCGTGGCTTCCTCCGAGGCTATGGGTCCCCCTTCTTCCAGCTAGAGGTGGTACTCCCTTCCTATGTATATATATATATATATATATATATATATATATATATATATATATATATATATATATATATATATATATATATATATATATATATATATATATATATATATATATATATGCGAACAAGCCTGAATGGTCCCCAGGACAATATGCAACTGAAAACTCACACCCCAGAAGTGACTCGAACCCATACTCCCAGGAGCAACGCAACTGGTATGTACAAGACGCCTTAATCCACTTGACCATCACGACCGGACATAATGAGGTGATAGCCGAAGCTATTTGAACCACCCCACCGCCGGCACTCGGATAGTAATCTTGGGCATAGCATTTTACCAAATCACCTCATTCTTTGGGGCACACGTGAGGAACACAAATGCGAACAAGCCTGAATGGTCCCCAGGACAATATGCAACTGAAAACTCACACCCCAGAAGTGACTCGAACCCATACTCCCAGGAGCAACGCAACTGGTATGTACAAGACGCCTTAATCCACTTGACCATCACGACCGGACATAATGAGGTGATAGCCGAAGCTATTTGAACCACCCCACCGCCGGCACTCGGATAGTAATCTTGGGCATAGCATTTTACCAAATCACCTCATTCTTTGGGGCACACGTGAGGAACACAAATGCGAACAAGCCTGAATGGTCCCCAGGACAATATGCAACTGAAAACTCACACCCCAGAAGTGACTCGAACCCATACTCCCAGGAGCAACGCAACTGGTATGTACAAGACGCCTTAATCCACTTGACCATCACGACCGGACATAATGAGGTGATAGCCGAAGCTATTTGAACCACCCCACCGCCGGCACTCGGATAGTAATCTTGGGCATAGCATTTTACCAAATCACCTCATTCTTTGGGGCACACGTGAGGAACACAAATGCGAACAAGCCTGAATGGTCCCCAGGACAATATGCAACTGAAAACTCACACCCCAGAAGTGACTCGAACCCATACTCCCAGGAGCAACGCAACTGGTATGTACAAGACGCCTTAATCCACTTGACCATCACGACCGGACATAATGAGGTGATAGCCGAAGCTATTTGAACCACCCCACCGCCGGCACTCGGATAGTAATCTTGGGCATAGCATTTTACCAAATCACCTCATTCTTTGGGGCACACGTGAGGAACACAAATGCGAACAAGCCTGAATGGTCCCCAGGACAATATGCAACTGAAAACTCACACCCAGAAGTGACTCGAACCCATACTCCCAGGAGCAACGCAACTGGTATGTACAAGACGCCTTAATCAACTTGACCATCACGACCGGACATAATGAGGTGATAGCCGAAGCTATTTGAACCACCCCACCGCCGGCACTCGGATAGTAATCTTGGGCATAGCATTTTACCAAATCACCTCATTCTTTGGGGCACACGTGAGGAACACAAATGCGAACAAGCCTGAATGGTCCCCAGGACAATATGCAACTGAAAACTCACACCCCAGAAGTGACTCGAACCCATACTCCCAGGAGCAACG